TTCTATTTATACACTTCTATTTTAAATTTTCTGATATTTCATTGAGAAATTTGCATCTATATTCATAAGATGTACTGGTCTGTAGTGTTTTATCCATAGTCTATATGTGGTTTTAATATCAAGACAGTGCTGGCCTCAAAAAATGAGTTGGGAAATACTCTCTCCTCTTCTATTTTTCTGGAAAAGATTGTATGGAAATTATGTTATTTGTTTGGTAATAATTTACCAGTAAAACCATCTGGGTCTAGAGATTTTTATTTCAGGAGTTTTTTAGTTACAAAACAAATTTATTCTCTTTTTAAAAAATATTTATTTATTTGACTGCACCAGGTCTTAGTTGACGCACATGGGATCTTCAATCTTCGTTGTGGCATGAGGGATCTTTAGTCGTGGCATGTGGGATCTAGTTCCCTGATCAGGGATGGAACCCCCTGCCCCCTCTATCCCCACTGCATTGAGAGCATGGATTCTTAACTAGTAGACCACTAAGGAAGTTCCAAGGGTCGACTTTTAAATGCAAATTATTGTGTTATTGAAATAGATGGCAAAACATTGTGTTCATTATGTGATGATAATGTGACTATGCTGAAAGATTACACTATATGTTGACATTATCAGACCAAGTACTCAATGCAATATCCCTAGCTCACAGGAAATAAATATTCAGAAAAATTTAAAAATGAAAAAGGAAATATCTCATCACAGTAGAATTTCTTCACACAAAAAAGGAAAACATGAAAATGAGGCTGCAACCAAAGTAGGTTTCTGAATGGCTCATTTGTGAGTCAAGCAAGGAAGGCATTTACCAATGGTGAGTTAATTAAATTATGTTTGATGGCAGCAAAAAGAAAATCTGTCCAGAGGAAATAAATTTATCTAAGAGTATTAGCCCTTCACGAGAAGAGTTGCTAGAAGAATAGAAGACATTGAAAGCAGCATCACTGTCAATTACTAAAACAAGACATATTCAACATCATACAGAACAAAAGTAGAAAAGCAGTTGCCACAAATCAATAAATGGGATAGACTAAATTAACAGAATGAAAGAAAAAAAATCATATGACAATCTTGAAACATGGAGAAAAAGCATTTGACAAAATACAACAGTCCTTCATAATAATACTTTCTTTAAAAAAAAACTCTCACTAAATTGGGTATAGAAGGAATAACCTCAACACAATAAACACCACATATGACAAGCCCACAACAAACATCACACTCAGTGGTGAAATGTTGAAACTATTCCTCTAAGATCAGGAACAAGAAAGAGTGACCACTTTCACCACTCTTATTCAACATAATGCGGGAAGTCCTAATAGAGGAATCAAGGAATGAAAAGAAGTAAAAGGCACTCTTGCATGTAAGTCTTAGCAATATTTTTTTTAAACTCTGTCTCTGCAGGCAGGGGAAACAAAAGCAAAATAAACAAATGGGACCCAACCAAACTAAAAAGCTTTTGCATAGCAAAGGAAACAATAAATGAAATGAAAAGGCAACTTACTGAATAGAAGATAATCTGCAAATAATATGTCTTAAAAGGGGTTAATATCCAAAATATATAAAGAACTCATATAACTCGATATAAAAAGTTTAAAAATGGGCAGAGGGCCCAAATAAGCATTTTTCCAAAGATGTACAGATGGCAAACAGGCACGTGAAAAGATGTTCAGTATCACTAAATACCAGGGAAATGCAAGTCAAAACCACAGTGAGATATCACCTCACACCTGTCAGAATGGCTATCATCAAAAAGACAAGGAATAATGAAGGTTAGTGAGGATGTGGAGAAAAGCAAACCGTAGTATACTGTTTGTGGGAATACAAGTTGGTACAGTCACTAAGGAAAACAGTGTGGAAGTTCCTTAAAACATTAAAAATATGTTCCAGCAACCCACTGCTGGGTATATAGTCAAAGGAAATAAAAAGAGGCTCTGGAAGAAAGATCTGTACTCCTGTGTTTATTGCAACATTATTTACAATAGCCAAGATATGGAAATATGAAATAATAAAGGTCTGTCAATGGATGTTGCTCAAAAGGACCAAATTTCCAGTTAGAAGATGAATAACTTCTGAGGATTCAATGCACAATGCAGTGATTACAAATAATAATGTTGTACTACGTACTTGAAAGTGGCTAAGAGAGTAGATCTTAAATGTTCTCTCCACAAGAAAGAACTGATAGTTATCTCTTGTGATGCAGTTGTTAGCTACACTACACTGGTAATAATATTAACACTACAGTATAGAAAGAATATCAAACTAACACACTGTACACTTTAAAATGACACAATTTCATCTCAGTTATATCTCAGTAAAGCTGGAGGGGGAAGTAGTTGCCGTATGGGGAGGGGTAATGAGGATTTACTACTTAAATGGGTACATTTTCATTTGGGATCTGTAACTTCTGAAGTTGAGCAGCAGTGATGGTTGTACAGCAAAGTAAATGCACAAAATGCCACTGGGTTAATCAATAAATGGGATAGACTAAATTAACAGAATGAAAGAAAAAAAATCATATGACAATCTTGAAACATGGAGAAAAAGCATTTGACAAAATACAACAGTCCTTCATAATAATACTTTCTTTAAAAAAAAACTCTCACTAAATTGGGTATAGAAGGAATAACCTCAACACAATAAACACCACATATGACAAGCCCACAACAAACATCACACTCAGTGGTGAAATGTTGAAACTATTCCTCTAAGATCAGGAACAAGAAAGAGTGACCACTTTCACCACTCTTATTCAACATAATGCGGGAAGTCCTAATAGAGGAATCAAGGAATGAAAAGAAGTAAAAGGCACTCTTGCATGTAAGTCTTAGCAATATTTTTTTTAAACTCTGTCTCTGCAGGCAGGGGAAACAAAAGCAAAATAAACAAATGGGACCCAACCAAACTAAAAAGCTTTTGCATAGCAAAGGAAACAATAAATGAAATGAAAAGGCAACTTACTGAATAGAAGATAATCTGCAAATAATATGTCTTAAAAGGGGTTAATATCCAAAATATATAAAGAACTCATATAACTCGATATAAAAAGTTTAAAAATGGGCAGAGGGCCCAAATAAGCATTTTTCCAAAGATGTACAGATGGCAAACAGGCACGTGAAAAGATGTTCAGTATCACTAAATACCAGGGAAATGCAAGTCAAAACCACAGTGAGATATCACCTCACACCTGTCAGAATGGCTATCATCAAAAAGACAAGGAATAATGAAGGTTAGTGAGGATGTGGAGAAAAGCAAACCGTAGTATACTGTTTGTGGGAATACAAGTTGGTACAGTCACTAAGGAAAACAGTGTGGAAGTTCCTTAAAACATTAAAAATATGTTCCAGCAACCCACTGCTGGGTATATAGTCAAAGGAAATAAAAAGAGGCTCTGGAAGAAAGATCTGTACTCCTGTGTTTATTGCAACATTATTTACAATAGCCAAGATATGGAAATATGAAATAATAAAGGTCTGTCAATGGATGTTGCTCAAAAGGACCAAATTTCCAGTTAGAAGATGAATAACTTCTGAGGATTCAATGCACAATGCAGTGATTACAAATAATAATGTTGTACTACGTACTTGAAAGTGGCTAAGAGAGTAGATCTTAAATGTTCTCTCCACAAGAAAGAACTGATAGTTATCTCTTGTGATGCAGTTGTTAGCTACACTACACTGGTAATAATATTAACACTACAGTATAGAAAGAATATCAAACTAACACACTGTACACTTTAAAATGACACAATTTCATCTCAGTTATATCTCAGTAAAGCTGGAGGGGAAAGTAGTTGCCGTATGGGGAGGGGTAATGAGGATTTACTACTTAAATGGGTACATTTTCATTTGGGATCTGTAACTTCTGAAGTTGAGCAGCAGTGATGGTTGTACAGCAAAGTAAATGCACAAAATGCCACTGGGTATTTCACTTGAAAATGATTAAAATGGCAAGTTTTATGTGTGAAAGTTAAGTCGTTCAGTCCTGTCTGACTCTACAATCCCATGGATTATACAGTCCATGGAATTCTCCAGGCCAGAATATGGAGTGGGTAGCCTTTCCTTTCCCCAGGGGATCTTCCCAACCCAGGGATCAAACCTAGGTCTCCCGCATTGCAGGTGAATTCTTTACCAGCCGAGCCACGAGGAAAGCCCAAGAATATCGGAGTGGGTAACCTATCCCTTTTCCAGCAGATCTTCGGGATCCACTGCCAGTGGATTCTTTACCAACTAAGCTATCAGGGAAGCCCTAATTTTATGTGTATTTAACCTCAATTTTTAAAAGGTTAATGATTTCTAATGATTTTTTTTCAGCTTTTACATGATCATGATTATTTAAATGTTACTCAATATATCACAATGCTTTGCGCTATAACTAGATTTCCTTCTGGTTGGCTCCAAGGTCTAGAACTGCATGTTACTAGTTGGGACCCTGAAATAGAGTCCACTTTCATACATTCCAACCCTCTGTTCAAAATTTTGCAGCATTTTACATTGTTTGGTATTTGAAGGATGAGTTCCTGTACAGTTGTTTTATTTTTGGTTTCCTTGTTATTTTTTCACTGGAAGTTTTTTATTATCATTGTTTTCACTTGTGGGATGAAAAACTATATGCCTTCCACAGTATATCCTTAAGATCTCTAGCTTCTTAATTAATGTCCAGTATATAATCCAGTCTCATGTTCCTGAAATCTACTGATTTATTAAATTAATATGCACCGTGAGCTTGTACGTTTTTGTCCTGAAAATTGTGGTAGCCTTCTCTTTTATAACACATACTGTTCATTCTGTTTTTGTTTTTAGGATGTACAGTTTCTTAAATATGGTCGTGGATCTTAACTGGGGAAACAGTGGAAACAGTGGCTGACTTTATTTTTCCGGGCTCCAAAATCACTGCAGATGGTGATTGCAGCCATGAAATTAAAAGACGCTTACTCCTTGGAAGGAAAGTTATGATGGGTTTGGGTGGACTCTGGGAGTTGGTGATGGGCAGGGAGGCCTGGCGTGCTGCGGTTCATGGGGTCGGACACGACTGAGCAACTGAACTGAACTGAACTGGGTCTTAACTGAAGTCGTCTCTGTTCCCGGAATCGCGTCATTTCCTCTTCCTCCTTCTCTCTCGGCGGCCGTGTCTCAGTGACAGTCCGGGAGCTCTGCTAAGGGTGGAGGGCACAACCGCAGAGGGAGCCCCGGCAGCTCGCGAGACAGCCGGGCTCATCGCTCTCAGCTCCATGCTTCTTGGGAGTCGGCCATAATGGTGGTTTAGAATGTTGGCGGCTTCATCAGGGTTCTGAAAGCGTAACTGCAAGCACATGTTGAGGACCACAGAGCCCGCGAGGTAGAAGTACCGCAAGTTTTTGTTCAGATGCCAGGGTGGGCAGGGTGCGGGAGGGCCCCTCGCAAGACCCTGTAGGAGCTGGGCGCCGCCGCCAGACTCGAGGTCCTGAGAACCAAGGCTGATGGAGCCGCGGCGAAGGTCATGAACCTGGTGTCGCCACTCACCCCCGATGCGGTACCTGGAACCGAGGGTGACCACGGACCCGAGGACCCCCAACTGGCGGCAATGACCGGGAGGGGCAGGTGGCGGGGGACATTAAGCGGCCACCGAGTTCAGCCTTGGGCCCCAACAATCGCCTTTTCAAACCCTCTTAATGATTTTTCTTTGATGCGTTGGGTTGTCATATGTTACCAATACTGCTCGGTTGATAATTCTTCAAGAAGACAGTTCTGAGTTTGAAGTAACTTGATAATAAACTTTCTTGAATAGTTTGCTAGGAGTGACAAAAGTTTAAATGACTGAAATGTCTTATCAGAAATCAGACCTTCAGCTCCTCCCCATATTTCCTAAAGACCGTGCGCCAGCTCGCCCCATTACTGCGACCAGCAGCCCTAGCGTCGTGATTAGTGATGATGAACCAGGTTATGACCTAGGTTTATTTTGTATACCCAGCCATTATGCCGAGGATTTGAAAAGGGTGTTTATTCCTCGTGGACTAATAATGGACAGGACCGAGCGGCTTGCTCCAGATGTGATGGAGATGGGATGCCATCACATCGTGGCCCTCTGTGTACTCAATGGGGGCCTATAAATTTTTTGCTGACTTGCTGGATTACATCAAAGCATGAACAGAAATAGTGATAGATCTATTCCTATGACTGTGGATTTTATCAGACTGATAAATCCTGTAATTACTGTAATGACCAGTCAACAGGTGACATAAAAGTCATTGGAGGAGATGGTTTCTCAACTTTAACTGGCAAGAATGTCTTGATTGTTGAAGATTTAATGGACACAGGCAAAACAATGCAAGCTTTGCTTTCTTTGGTCAAGCAGCATAATCCAAAGATGGTCAAGTTTGCAAGCTTGCTGGTGAAAAGGACCCCTCGAAGTGTTGAATATAGACCAGCCTTTGTTGCATTTGAAATTCCAGACAAGTTCCTTGTGAGATGTGCCCTCGACTATAGTGAATACTTCAGGGACTTGAATCATGTTTGTGTCACTAGTGAAACTGGAAAAGCAAAATACCAAGCCGAAGGTGAACATTCAAGCTGAGTTTGGAAACATCTGGAGTCCCACTGAAATCACCAGTGAAATTATCCAGTGTTCTAGTTCTGTGGCCAGCTGCTTAGAAGAACTTACCGTGTGTCTCCTAAGAATTTTGTCTGTTTTGTGTTTTAGAAATGTCAGTTGCTTCATTCCCAAACTCTTCATTTGCACTGTGAGGCTATAGACTATCAGTTCCCTTTGGTCAGATTGTTGTTTGGCTCATGAATGAAAAATCTCTGAAGCCACACCACTATTGACTGAAAATATGAAAATTGTATCTGTAACATTTAAAGATAAGACTGTATTAGTTTTTTAATTGGTATTTTAATTTTTATATAGTCAAGAAAGAACAGAAGTGATTGAATGTTGTTAACTATACTGCTGTGTGTTTAGAAAAGCAGTCACTTTCATATCTGTGACAGTACTTAAGAGGTATTATTGTGTCAGAGAAACCATATGTCCTGGAATTTTTTTAGTAGGTTTCAGTAGTATTAACTGTATTTTCTTGCTTGTTCAGATTATTTCTGATGAATCTTTGTTAACAGTTCCTTTTAAATACAGGTCAATAAGTTCCAGAACTTACCACGTTTTGAACTCTTCAGTGTAAAAATATTTCAAATAAAGGCTGTCTCTTTAAAAGAAAAAAAAATCAGAACTTCAGTAGGAAAAGAAACATTATCAAAAGTACTGAGAGAAAAGAGCTGTCAATCTAGAATTCTGTCTCTGGGGGAAATGCCCTTTAGGAATAAAGGTGAAATAAGGATAGTTTCAGATGAAAAAAGCCAACAGGATACATTGGCATGGACTGCTTTAAAAGGAAAACCAAAGTTAATTCTTTAGTAAAGGAAAATGATACTACAGGAAAACTTGGAATGTCAGGAAGAAGTAGAAGCAATAGAAATGGTCAAGATCTGGGTAAACATAATAGACTAGTCACCTTTTGATTCTTGAAAATGTGTATTACAGTTGAAAGCAAAAATTATAACATTGATGAGATTTTCATTGTATGTAGATTAATACATATGGTTAACTTTTTAAAACATAAAGGAGAGAGGGTGAAGAGACCAACATGGTGGGAGGTTGCGATATTCCACCTGAGTTGTGAAATATTCTGGTTAGGCTAGCATGTTTATTGTACTCCCTACAGCAACCACGAACAAAATTTGCAAAGACATATACTCAAAAATCACGAGATCAATTAAAATGGAGTACTAAAATAATACTCAAGTAATCCAAAAGGGAGCTGGAAAGGGAAAACAGAGGACCAAAAAACAGAGGGAACAAATAATAAAATGGTAGACTTAATGCCAAACATACCAGCCATTACATTAAATGTACATGTGATAAACACGAAAATTATCAAGATTTTCAGAATTCATTTTTAAAAAAGATCCAATTATATCCTGTCTATAAGACTAACATTAAAGGTGCATATAGGATAAAAGTAAAGATTGGGAGGAGGGAAGGTATGCAACACAAACACAAAACAGAGATGTGTGGTTATATTGATGTCAGGCAGAAAAGATATCAGAGTGAGGATAATTAGCATGGATAAAGAGGGACATTAAACAATGCAAAAAGGGACAATTCAATGAGAGGACAAGAATGCTAATTGTATGTGCGCCTAACAGAAACTTCGAGATACATGAGTCAAAACCTGAAAAAAATAACAAATGAACAAATCTGCAATTATGTTTGAAGACTTTAACATTCCTCTCTCAGTAACTGATAGAACAAACAATTAGCATGTACATTGAAAAACTGAATATTATCAAACAATTAGATCTAATTGCCATTTATAGAACACTTCACCCAACAAAAGCAGATCATATTCTTTTCAAGTGCACATGGAACTTCATCAAGATGGACCCTGTCCTTCATCATAAAACTAACAAATTCAAAGGATTTAAATCATACAAAATCATATTATCTGATTGTGGTTTGCAAAACTCTAATGTGCGCCCCCAACTGCAAAAATAATTCCTGTCCCTAGTGTACAATCCTATATAATCTCTGAGACTGTGACTATGATGGGATATCACTCCTGTGATATTTTTGGTATAGTTGACCTTAAGAAGATTATCTGGGTGGACCTAACCTAAACACATGATGAAGCATTTAAATGTGGTTCTAGAGGTCAGAGACAGAGGAAGTCAGATACAAAATATGAGTGTGGTTTTGATGGAGGGAGATTCTCTGTTCAAGGCTTTGAAGATAAACAGGACCACATGTCAAGGAATGCAGGTGTGCTTTCAGTTCAGTTCAGTTCAGTCCCACAATCGTGTCCGACTCTTTGTGACCCCATAATCGCAGCACTCCAGGCCTCCCTGTCCATCACCAACTCCTGGGGTCTACGCAAATTCATGTCCATCGAGTCAGTGATGCCATCCAGCCATCTCATCCTCCGTCATCCTCTTCTCCTCCTGCCCCCAATCCCTCCCAGCATCAGGGTCTTTTCCAATGAGTCAACTCTTCTCATGAGGTGGCCAAAGTATTGGAGTTTCAGCTTCAGCATCAGTCCTTCCAATGAACACCCAGGACTGATCTCCTTTAGGATGGACTGGTTGGATCTCCTTGCAGTCCAAGGGACTCT